CTGATACCAGGGGCTTAGATGGAGAGCAAATGTTTTGAGAATTATGAGGGCATGAATGAACAAATGTGCTTTACACAATTGCTGTATGTATGGATTGTGATAAGAGTTGCATGAGCCCCTAATAAAATGATCTAAAACAAATTTAAGAGTTTTGGTCTCAAAAACCCACAGGGGTCGCTATGAGTCAGCATTGACTCGATCAATGGCAGCAAGTTTGGTTTTGGGTTTTAGTCACAATGTAATTCAGAGTGGCTAAACAATTGGTAAAGAATAGGGAACATTTCAGTGAAATAAAATAGATGACAAAGCAGATTTATCAAAGAAAGATAATGGTGATGTAGAACCAAGTGTAAGATGAGAGACAGTACCCATGCTCCAGAGAGGTTAAGTGGCTTGGTCAAGGTCAGCAGCAAATGAGATAGGACAAAGTAGATCTCAAATTTGCTGGTCCACAAATTTGATTGTGGCCCAGTACCTGCTACTGTTCTAATTCCACCTCTTGCTGTTGCTACTGCTAGGAGCGGTAACTCTCGATCCTGACTTGGTCCAGTTAGCCACGCAATGTCTCCACAGACAAAGGGAAACTGCCATTTGGTTCCTTTCTGTCTCCTGGAGTTGGGCGGAATCTTTTTCTTCCTTTCCTAGTTAAGCTATCAAAATATGGAGGAGTACGAGTATGTCTGTCCTGTTGTTCTGCTTATGTGGGAGTCAGTAAGTCTTTCCAACCAGAAACTGTTGGCATTGGACCTTGCTCTCCTCCACTAGCTCCTTCTCCTGACCTTCTCCCCGCTCTTCCCGTTTAAAACATAACACTCTAAACTTCCGATGGTTGAGTAATTGCTTGTTGAGCCTTCGTCTTTTCCGGATTGAATGTGCTCCTTGACTCTGAAGCGGCTAGCCCCTTAAAAAAATATTTCTGAGCCTTTAATACTGTTGTCCCAAAGAGAATCGGCCAGTTTGACAGTAATGTCCTACAGTAGATAGCTCAGAGTTGCTCCACATTGGCTTTACGCAAAATCATGAGATAAATCAGGGCTGTCTGGGAGATTGTTAGAGTTCCTTATGGAACTGTTTATATTTTTGAGTTTTGGCCATTAACCTATCCTGGAAGACATTATTTTAAAATCCTGTGAGACTTTATTACTATTGAGCTTCTTGCAGCTTTGTTGCAGAGAGCGACATGCTCTTAAGTCGGAGAGTGCTTTTGAAAAGGAGGACCAATGAGATAAAGTTCCTTTGGTTTAATAACAGTAGGAAGACAACATTAACTTCTTTTGAACAACTATTTGGAGTTAATTTTATGAAGATTGTCTTTTGTGTCAGTGATTACAGTACTTTCATTTATTTATTTTAAAACAAGTGGCTTTTAATGTATTCGGGGAGATAGACAACCATCAGCACAATCAATTTTAGAATATTTTATTACCCGAAGAAGAATCTTTTTGTCCCATAGCGTTCACTTCTCAAAGCCCACATCCTTCCTAGCTCTAGGCAAACACTAATCAATCATTCACTCTCTATAGAGAGTGTATTCTGGACTTGTCACAACAAGGGGAGCACATCATATGTGGTCTTTGGTTACTGATCTCTTTCACTTAGTATAGTATTTTAAGGTTCGCCCATGTTATAGTATGCATCAGTATTTAATTCCTTTTTATTTCTGAATAATATTCCATTGTATGGATGGATAATACTACTTGTTCTTTTTAACAGTTGATGAACAGTTGGCTTGTCTCTAGCTATCATGAATAATGTTGCTATGAACACGTAAGGTAGTTGAGAGGCACCAGAAACCAAATCAGTCAAATTAGAACAAACAGGCTTTATTGGGGAGAAAAACCCAGCCTGGGCGAAGTCCCACAGTCCACAGTGTCTGGCCAAGGGAGCCGCACCCCAGGCTATAGGGGTGGTACTTATATGGCCAGGGAACATGTGACCAGGCTGTCTTGAGTCCATAGAAGGTAAAGTAGTCAGGGACTGGGAGATACAGGTATGTCCGGGTTTCTGGAATGTAAGGTGTCTTCCCGGTTCCGGGTATATTTGTGCCGGGTGCAGAGCCGTGGGCCGAGAACAAAGCGGGCACTGAACCAAACAGTCCATGCCGGGTGCGGGCACTGAACCAAGTTGGCCTTGCCAGGTGCAGAGCAGCGGGCTGATAATAAAGCGGCTATTAGCCAGCTCTAGTCAGCTCTGCAGGTGTGTGGGGGAGATTCAAGGTCACTCGCTGCTAGTTTTAGCTAGCTCTGGTCAGCTCTGCTCGGGTGGGGGAGATCCAATGTCACTTGCTGCTAGAAGCCAGCCTGGTATTGATCCGTCCATACAGAACATTAGTGTATAATTCTCTTATGTGTGGCCATATGCGATTATTTCTCTTAGGTTACATAAATACCTGAGAGTGAAAATGGTGGGTTAAATGGCAACTCTATGCTTAACTTTTTTGAGGAGCTGCCAGAATTTTCCAAAGTGGTTGCATTACTCCATTAAGCCACGAACTGTTTATTCTGCTAAGAACAATATTCCCCCAATAGTCTATATGAAGGTCAATTTGTTCATCATCTTGTCAACACTTATTATTATCTGACTTTTTATTTTGGCCAATCTAGTAGTTATGAAGTCGTAGCTCACTGTGGGTTTGATTTGCATTTCCCTTGTGAATCATAATGTCGAACAGCTTTTCAAGTGTTTATGGGGCCATTTGTATATATTGGGGAAATGTTTATGCAGTCCCTTTGCCCATTTAAATGTTAAAACAAAATCTTTTCATTGAGCTCTAACAATTCTTTATATATTCCAGGTACAAGTTCTTACATACCTGTATGATTTGAAAATTTAGTCTCCCATTTCCTGACTTGTCTTTTCACTTTCTTCAGAGTGTACTTTGAAGCAAAAAAGTTTTAAACTTTGATAATATCCAGTTTAATTTTTGTTGCTTTTACTTGTAATTTTGGTGTCATATTTAAGACACCATTTTTTAATGCAAGGTCAGGAAAAGTTACCTCTCTGTTTTCGACAAAAGAATTTTTTAACGTTTGCTTTTGCATTTATATCTGTGAGCCATTTTTAGTTACCCGATATACTTGCATTTAAGCCAAACTGATATCAGTGGAGGCACCTATTTTTAACACCAAACTGCATTAAAAATGTGCTGGAAAAAACTCAGCTTATACGCAAGTATATACGGTAATTTTAAAATAATTTTGCGTGAGGTAACGTAGAGTAGGGGTCGAATTTTATTCTTTATCATGTGGCGGTTCAGTTGTCCCGGCACCATCTGTTGAAGAGATGGTTCTTTCCCTGCGGAATATCTTGGCTCCCTTGTTGAAAACCCATTCGCCACACGTGGGATGATTTCTGGACTCTTACTTCTTCTTTTTTAAAAATCATTTTATTGGGGGCTCTCGCAACTCTTGTTACAATCCACATATCAGTTATATCCAACATATTAGTAGACATAATCCATTGTTCTTTTCTAGACATTTACTTTCCATTAAGCCCTTGGGATAAGCTCCTCTCCCCTTATCAACCCTCGTGGCCTCTTGATTGATTGTAGAGTCCTAATTATTTTCAAATCTCACACCGACCGCTCTGGTTTCCTCTCTGGTTTCTGTTGTTCTTCCCCCTGGATGGGGTGTGTGTGGTTATGTGCCATTCATTGCGATCGGTATCCCCCAGTCTCCCCTCCTTTCCTCTCCTTGCCCTACCCTTTTGGTATCTCTAGTCCCATTCCGGTTCCTGGGTTCCATGTGTTGTGAGTTTTTTCTTACCTATACCTATGTGCATGCTCCCATCTAGTCGAATTGGGAAGTGGTACTGGGGTCACGATAGCGGGTGGGGTGGGTGGCTGTGGGTGTGAGGAGGCCTCAAGGGGTCAGAGGTATATTGCATGAACCATTTAGTGCTCTCCTGCACCCTGATTGACTCATCCCCTCCCTGTGACCCCTCTGTGGGGGGATGTTCCATTGTTCACAGATGGACTTTGGGTCTCCACTCCAATGCCCTTCCATTCTCACCAGTGCATTTTTGTTTGTTTGTTTACTGTTTGTTGTGAATCTTTTGATGCCCGTTGCCCGGTCTCGATGATATCGCAAGATCGCTCTGGCTGGTGTGCTTCTTTCATGTGGGGCTTGTTGCTTCACTGTTGGATGGCCTCTTGTTTAACTTTAAGCCTTTAAGTCCCCAGACACCGTATCTTTTAATAGCTGGGCACCACCCTCTGTCTTCACCACATCTGCTTATGCACCCATTTTGTCTTCAGGGATCATGTAGGGGGCGGGGGTGAGCATTACAAAATGCCAATTTGTTAGAACAAAGTGTTCTTGTATTGAGGGGAGGTATGAGCCAAGGCCCAAGACCCATCTGCAGCTTCATTGTATTGCCTTATAAATATATGTCCATAGGCCAATACCAGTATTGCTATGGATTAATGTATTTGCATAAGTGCACACCTCTGTTAATCTCCCTAATCTCCCTATCTATGCCTTTGCTTCCTAGAGCTTGCCTCTCTTTCCTTCTGCCCCCTCCTGCCCCGCCATCACTTTCCCCTTCTTCCACCTCTTAGTGCTTCCTCTCCACTAGCTTGCTGTTGCTCTGACACTCACAGGATCTCTACCATCTCCTAGATGCTGGTTCCACTTCCCTCGTTGTTCCCCTGTCTACTTCATTGATCTACATAACTTCCTTGCTTATCTGCTAGGAAGCATAGAACAAAATCAGAGGCCTGTTGACAGGTGTCTAGGAATCTTTAGGTTTGGGTTGATAGACTCATCTCACTCTCAGCTTCTTATTTCCCTTCTCTCAGATTTCTTTTTGCTATTATTATTTTATGTGCATTAGTATAAGCTGCCTCAAATTCCTTTTATAAGGAGCTTCGGGAAGTGATTGCCTATACCATCCCTGCACGCCAAATGTTTTATTAATAAATTCCAACGGAAGCTTGCCTAATGAATATATTTCACTTCCTTCAGCTGAAAAATATATATTTTCTATTAGAGATCTTAAATATTTGCCCTGTCAAATTATTATCATCGGCTGACATTGCTGCCTTTTATTTATTTAGTTTTCATTGGAATTCAGATAATTTGTAAGATTAGTTCTTACTTGACTATGCAGCTCCATTCCATTCATTAATAACTTATTTTCATCTCCCTCAGCATCTTAAATGTTTACACTTTGTACACTGAAAAGCATTTTGAATATATATGGCACTATGCTCTGAGAAACTGTAAATGTTTACACCAATTTATTCAATCATTCAATTTTCCAGTACCCAGCCTCTGATATATCACTCCATGTAGAAACACCCACACCCCAAAATGTTCACCATGCCTAAATTATAATTGTGAAAAATTGAAAATAACTTCTGTGTTTTAAGAGTATAATAAGTTAACTATATGATAGCCACTGGAAGGAATATGTAGGAGAAAGATGAGACTTTATATTCCCCTAAAGAGTTACAGTCTCAGAAAGTCACAGGGGTAATTCTAAGTTCTACCCAGCCCTTACAGTTGCTATGAGTTGGCATTGACTTAATGTCAGTGAGTTTAGGTTTGTTTTTTGGTGTTTTTTTTTTAAGGAATATTATGTATTCTTTTAAAAAATGGTGTAATGTTTATGCATTGGGCTGTGATCCGTATGGTCAGCAGTTTGAAACCACCAGCAGCTCTGTGGGAGAAAGAGTGGGCTTTCTACTCCTATAAACAGTTACAGTCTCAGAAATCCACAGAGGGTCGCTATGGATCAGCATTGACTTGATGGCAGTGAGTTTGGGAGTTAAAAAAATAATCCCAGTAAGGACTATTTAGCAACCTAAAAATGAATATGGTAGAATGGTAAGGGGGAAAAATACTGATATAAAATAAGCATTTCACAAAGGGCTCCCCCCACCAGCTAGTCAGAGAGAGCCTGATTAAATTTTATGCTTATTTTAATTTTAACATTCTTTTGTGGCTTTTAATTTAGAATCTTAGAATGATTAAAATGTATAATTCTAATACAACTACTTTCTTTCCCCTCCCTCTTTCAGATGTGAATCTGGTTACACGGGACAGCACTGTGAGAAGACAGACTTCAGTATTCTCTATGTAGTGCCAAGTCGGCAGAAGCTCACTCACGTTCTGATTGCAGCCATTATCGGGGCTGTTCAGATCGCCATCATAGTCGCCATTGTCATGTGCATCACAAGGTAGGTGACGCTGGAAGGAATGTTGACTTGAATTTGACGATGGGTAGCTGTTATGCACACTGAAAATGAAAGGCCACCAGTCTGCCAGAGAACACCCAGGAGGAAGTCTCTGTACGGGCCTGGTCCCTCCCTGTCGTTCTTCTCTGGAATGTAGACAAGAGCTTATTTCCAGCACTCTTCCTGGGGTGCCTGCGGAGGAGGCTTGGGGAGAGTCATTGGCATAAAGCATTTTAGGGACCTTCCAGCCCTGTACCATATGTGACGATTGGGTTCAGGGAAAATAATAGGAGCAGCAGAATGTCCAGACTGGTCTGTCCTGTGCACAGAAGAGCCGTGTAGAATGGTTTCTCCTCACTGCGAATTACAAAGTGTTTTATGCCCTATGGATATACGTTTTCCACAATACATATAATAAAGAAGAAATGAAAGGTTAAATAAAAATAATGTTCTTTTATCACAGTCTTAGTATTACTTCATATTTAAATCTCAGCGACAGACAGCAGCTTTTTTTTTTTAAATTGGGGACTCATACTGCTCTGAACACAATCCATACATGTATCCATGTGTCAAACACATCTGTACAGACGTTGCCATCATCCCTTTCAAAACATTGTCTTTCCACTTGAGCCCTTGGCATCAGCTCCTCATTTTTTCCCTCCCTCCCCGACCAACCCTTGATAATTTATAAATTATTCTTATTGTTTTTTCATGGATACGTGAGCAAAGAATTGAATGTGAGCAATATCAATAAATGGAGCTTGTACTGAGCTCTGTGCTGCTGCCGCCTCTTGAAGTCACTCACTCACACCCCAAACTCAGGCTTCCTCGGTGGTCCGCGTCTCTTCTTCTTGCTGCCACTCCGTGCCCCTTTCAAGGTTTGGTTCATAAGGCCCCAAAGAGCATCTCGTCTCTCTCCTTCATTGTTTTATGTCGAGGATTCAAGCCTATCAAGTAAAGATATTGGCAGGACTGAATGCATTCATGGTCCATTGATCTAGAAGCCGTACCTTTAGTAGTCTAAACCACCTGGAGCTCGCTTTAAAACTCTAGGAGTGATTTTTTTTTTTTTTAAGTCCTCCGAGTAAATCGATCATTTTCACAAAATCTGGCCCCTGAAGCCAGTGCATTAGGCCCTGAAGTCAGTGTACTTTATTGCATACACCCGATGATCTGCCTGCAGGCAAAATGACAGATGATAAAATTGGGCAGTGGATTCAAAGTAGAAGCACACTGACACATCAAATAGGAGGAGGCTTCAGAAAGTTCATGGAAAAATGGAATGAAAAGATGATGGAATATTTTCACAAGCTCTCTGAAACCCTCTCATAATGTTTGAGTAAAGAAACGATAGGGGGAAAACCCCCCACAGAATACAAAACAGCAGGCTTCGCTGTGACCATGTCACACCGACCCGGTTAAAAAATCCCTCTGGCCATCCAAGGACTGGCTGGAAATGCTTGCCTGTGGACTCAGTGTTGCCTGACTTTCATCCAGTCTCTTTGTCCACCGGGCAGCCAAGTGTTCCTTTATCGAATGGCAACAGTGACACAGTGAGGGATATTTCTTTAACAGGCTGTTCCCAGGAACCTGCCCGGTGGTCGGTTTTTCTTCTTGGAGCTTCTTTAATGTGTGTTGATGCATAATGGGATAATGAATTAGAAGGGACCTCAAGTATCTTTCTAGCCACATCCCTTTATTCTGTAGATCAGTGGTTCTCAACCTGTGGGTCGCAACCGCTTTGGGGTGGAACAACCCTTTCACAGGGGTTGCCCGATTCCTAACAGGTGCTACAGTTATGAAGTAGCAAAAAAAAATAATTTTATCGTTGGAGGAACTGTTTTGAAGGGTCATGGTATCAGGAAGGTCAAGAACCACTGTGTGTAGATGAAAACCTTATGACCCTAGTAAGTTGGGACTTTTCCGAGATCGTGGTGAGTGGGTAATAGTTTCAAGCACGTTCCTCTTATGAAATAGCTCAGTCAATTTCCAAGTGCTTTTATGAGGATCTGTGAGAAAAATCGGTGAAAACAATATACAATATGGAAATAGCTTCATTGCCAAGACTTTCAAGCTCGGACAAACCAGAACTTTTTGAAATGGAATGAAGACATGGAACTGGAGAGTACTAGTACTCATCGTTACAGGACCTTCTTTCCATTAGATTATAGTGTCCTCACCGGCATTGATTTTAGACGTCAGCCCAGCCTGAATTTAATATTTTATGCACAGGGAAACTGCACAGTGTGTTTCTAGGAGAACCCAAATACAAAGCCAAGGCGAGGTATTCACCCCTGCCCCTCCCCTCACATTGCACACGCAGCACCTGTGCATGGTGAGCGCTCAGACGTTTGTGTTCCAATGGGCAGGCGCACTAATGAATACAATGCCGGGGGATTCATACACTGTGGGACACATCTAGGGTAACATTAGAATGGAGTTACTGAATAACAAGGACGTTGTTGGTTGTGCTCCATGGCTAGCCTGAGCAGGTTGTGGAATCACTTCTTTTGTTCCTTTAAGTCATTTTCTAAAACCACCAGACAGTGCCTGTGATGACTTTCTGAGCTTCATAAGCACACTTCTTCCTGATTGCTCTGTTCATCTGAGCTATTTTTGTCATGTTGAGAGTGATGACGGGTGTCAGCGCTTGGCTGCTAACTGGGAGGTAGCTGCTTGAACCAGACAGCAGCTCTGCGGGAGAAAGGTGTGGTGATCTGCTTCAGGAAAGATGACAGCCGCAGAAACGCTACCGTGTCCTAAGAGGTCTCTGAGTCCACTGGGACTCGTGGCGGCCCCCTCTGTGGGCGAGGAGGGGAGCTGGGCTGCGTGGGGTTCTCCGGGGCTGGTGTTTTGGAAGGAGGTTGTCAGACCTTTCTGTTGAGATGCCCCTGGGTGGACTCAAATCCTCCGTCTTAGTTAGCGAGCCCTCAAACCACCTGTCCAGGTAGGACACAGGCTTCCTACCTGGCTGGTCTCTGAAGATGGGAAGTTTCTGGGTCAGAGGCAGGATGGGATTTTGTCAGGAACAAATTTGCCGGTGTAGACCCTGCCAGTGAATTTTGCTTGTGTCCACACCTGCACCCTGTGCCTAAGGGCCTCACCTCCCCCAGCTTTGTAGGGACAGTAGCAGCTCCTTGTAACCCATTCACGTGATCATATGCAAATATGACTTATATGTGATCTGTGTAATTCCTTCAGAAACATGGAAATATCCTAAATAATTTTCTTGTTCTTTCTTTCTTTTTTTCTTTAATGAAACAGAAAATGCCCTAAAAACAACAGAGGACGTCGACAGAAGCAAAACCTAGGCCATTTTACTTCAGATACGTCGTCCAGAATGGTTTGAACTGACGACTTTTATACGTACACTGACCATGTGATGTACATTTATTATGTCTTTTTTTAAAGAATGGAAATATTTATTTCAGAGGCCTTATTTTTGGACATTTTTAGTGTCGTACTGTTGACTTGTATCTAGAGGTATTCAGCCACAACAGTTTGGGACTGTTTGGTAGTCTTCATTTTATGTTTTTAAATACAGAAATTGATTTCATGAATTTGTACCACATGGTAATTCTCAGACTTGCTCTTTACCCACGGAATGTAATATTTTTGCAACGATGGACCACTTCACCAATGGTTAGGAAGTTACACCCACTCTGATCACAGCAATGGTAAAGCATGAACTGAAGGTAAAGATGTTTACAGATTACTTTTCTTACGAAAAAGAAATCTAGAAGACACTGTGTTTAAATAGATATTTAAATGTTTTTGAGATTTAGTAACTGATTTTTTAGACATTGCCTATTGCATGAACTGTAAAACTGTGTGTTAGATGTAAAATATTTATAAGATGTATGGACTGGAATATGATTATTCCTCTCTGGAAGAAAAACAAAGCAATTCTAACAATTTGGGAAAGTTTCTGGCAGTGAAGATGGAGCAGATTGCTGAAAAGTAGATTTAGATATTGTGAAAATAGGTTGTTTACCAGATTGGAATAAAGCTTTCTCAGCCAGTTAAACCACTTTAACATGCATTCGCTTTTAAAGAAAGTCTTTGTTTTAACCTACATAAGCAAATTGTATCAGTGTTTGTGAATAAAATGCTAAAATGGCCATTAAAGATGAGTGCTCTTAAAGTGAGCGGGGAAAAAATGATATAAGACTTCTATCCAAATTGTCCTGTAGTTATTAGCTTAGCGAATAGATTGTTGTTTAAAGATCTGAAGTGTGAATAGGATGCATTCAGCTGTTTTAACATGTAGTTCAGAGATTCAGACGTATGCATGTAGAATTTAAGAATATGTTCAAAATTGAATATTAAATATTTGATTTGGAAAAGCATGTTCTAATATAATGTTTTCACGATATGGCCTCTGCTTTGGTGTGTTTATTTTCTACATTCCTTGACATTGCTTCTTTTCAGTACACTTCACAAGTAAAGTTCATAGAAAAGGCTGATTTTAAGCCACAATTTCTCCCTTTCTTTTACAAATACTATTTGGAAATATCTAAAGGGGGGTAATAAACCCTTTCATTCAAGAGTGGAAGTTTGCTCTTTTGGTCATTTAGTTTCTAAACTTAGTATTAGTTCATGATGGCTTTGGTGAACTTTTTAAAAAAAGCATTCCTCTTCTTATTTGAGCCCCTTAGTCAGTCAGCAAGCATGTCTGGAACAGGACCCAGTGCTTTGCCGGAAGGGTTCATATTTCAGAGCAGTCACAGATGGGTATTTGTAGTTATAAATACTTGACCTGTCTCCAGGGGTGGGGTTTCCAACCCTGCAAACAACCCCGTTGCCTGTTATCAAGCTAACTCTTTGCCCTAAGTGCCCGAATTGATTGTGGTCGGACATCGTTCCCCGAGAAAGAAAGAAAATGGAGCATAACGGGTCTGCTTCCAACGCGGATAGAATCCACCAGAACCGTCTGTCCAGTGTTACAGAAGACGAAGACCAGGATGCAGCTCTCACCATTGTGACTGTGCTGGACAAGGTGGCCTCCATGGTGGACCGTGTGCAGGCAAGCCAAAAGAGAATAGAAGAGAGACATCGGGAAATGGGGAACGCAGTGAAGTCTGTCCAGATCGACCTGTTGAAGCTCTCGCAGGCACACAGCAACACGGGCTACGTTGTTAACAAGTTGTTTGAGAAAACGCAGAAAGTCAGTGCCCACATCAAGGACGTGAAGGCTCGAGTGGAGACGCAGCAAGTTCATGTTACAAAGGTGGAATCCAAGCAAGAGGAAATAATGAAGAAGAATAAATTCCGCGTGGTGATATTCCAGGTAAGCTTGACCTTGTAGTTAGCCTGGCTCCTCCAATCTCTTGCATCTTCTTTAATTATCAACAGGTCCTATGGGAGATTTTTGATGTCACATTTGGACTGTCATGTGTGTTAATGTAGGAAGTTCTCAGCAGAGATCTCTGAATCTAAATTTTTCTAACGTTAGCTAGTGTACTGTTGGCATTTTGAGCTTCTTTACCATTTGATGTAATATGAACTGTGGATCGTAGCCTGGGCTGTTTCTTGCCTTTGAAACTTAATATTGGCAAGGCTCTTTGGGCATATTGGCTGTGCTTGGTGCCTTCCCATAATGTAACTTCTAGTTCAGCTTCTAGTTAACCCGTGTGCAGCTTCTTTGTCTCATAGAAGAAAAAACGAAGGACCAGATAGGCCACAGGGTAGGTTGACATTTGTTTACTTTCCATTTTCATCAAGAACATGTAAACTCTTCAGAATGCAAGTTGCCTATTGTGTGTTTTTATATATACGTTTCAGTAAGAAGAGCTGTCTGTTCTCCACATGAATAATCAGGCAGTTTTTCAGATTTTCATTGTAATATTACAAATGTATTATTCCCAAATCATTTCACAGATCGTTCCTTGTATTTGATTACCAAGCCTTTTTGCACTTAGTTTAATCATTTTTATGAGGCATTGTGTGTTAAGTTAACTTTCTGCACCTGACAATCAAAATTTTGGAAAGAAAAACATATAATATAATAGCTGGTATTATGTATATAATGTTATAATAGCTATAATGTATTTTGGAAAGAAAAACATAAATAGCTGGTAATATATATATAATATATATATATATTAATAGCTATAATGTGTTGTAAACTTCTAGCCCCCAAAATAAATAAATAAAATTGGAGTTTCTCCTCTCCTGATAGAAAAACAAGAAAGCCTTGATTATTGCAGTTCACAAAAGACAAAAAGGATTAAGAGTAGAATTCCACCTTTACCCATGTAAATAGTAGCAGACACTATTATTATCTGCCTAGAGTTTCAGGGTACAGAAAAAATAAGCATTTTCATACTCTGCTGGCAGGGGTGCTTATTGGTTCACTATTTCTAGAGGGCAGTTCTGGTAACATATATTAAGAACAGAAAATTCTGACCCAAACATTTCATGTCAAATAATTTATTCTGAGGTAGAAAATTAGGAATGGATGTGTACTGTTGCATATATACAGTGTTCTCATGGCTGTATTTTTGAATGGATATTTGTAGGCATAAGAAGAATTAAAACAAAATGAAATAGAATTCTAGGAGGGCCCTTCACAAAGTGTATGAGAATGGGGCATTAATTGATAATGGAATTTTCCATGAACTTTTTAAAGCCTCTCCCCCTGTAGTTGAATGATGTAAACAGATAGCCGTGAGATACTTAGGAATGTGGACCCAACGCCCCCACAACATTCTTTGCACATAAGTTAATGCACCACAGCCCCCTGTTGCTTGATAAATTTACACTGGAACGGGCAGAGTGGCTTTCCAGATCTGTTTGTGGATATTTGTTGGCTGTTTCGGAGAACAGAGAGGGAGGAAAGGGAAGAGTAGTGTATTTCAATGGTAGGTAGGTTGGGTTGTGCGATTTGAAATCTTTTACCATTTCCCTTTCCTTCTAGGGCCCCAGGAGCCCTTTTACAGGCTTCGAGATTGGAGAAGAAAAACACAACAGAACAAAAAACCCACACAGCCTTCTTACTTGCAGCTTGGGTATACGTAATGAGGATCCAGATTTGGTGTTAGAGAATGGCGTATCCACTCTTCACCTTCCCTTCCAAGGGTTTACCTCCCAAGGGGGCATTCTTTAACCTCCACCTGCTTGGGGAAAGCAAGGAAATAGCCCTGATGTCCATCACTTCTTTTTTTTTAAATCCCTTTATTGGGGGCTTGTACAACTCATCACAATCCATCCATCCATCCATTGTGTCAAGCGCAGTTAATATCCACCACTTCTTCTGAGAACCTTAGTGCAAAACAGGGGCCAATCAAGAGTCATGGAGACTTCAGGAAAGATGTTACTGAGAAATTCTAACAGGCTCTTCTTTGCCCATTGACATTTTTGTTTGTTTGTTATTTTTACCGTGAAGAAGCTCCAGAGTTTGCTTCCTATCTTTTCCTCTCTGTCTTGGAGCCCCTTCAGTTACTTAAGTAAATGGAAGAGAGTATGAAAAAGTAATTGTGTAGATACTAATGTGAGTTCAAATCTCTCTCAATATAAGCTATGATGCTCTGCAGATTCTGTGAAACTAAGTTGTACAGAAACAGCAGCAGTTTTTGAAAAACCACTCGCTGTCTTCTAATTGGAGATAAGATCGTGGTAAGCAGCAGTGGTCATAGAACATAGATTAAACTGTGTGCAATAACCACATGGTTATTTTTAGTTAAAATTAGTTCTAATGATTCTTGCAGGTGATATGTGCAAGTGGTCATATTGAGATTGCTTCTTATACTAAAATTAACTGCAAGCTGATCAATGCAGCTATCACATGCTTTCATTTCCACTTGAGTTCTTCCGTCCCAACTTTTCCCTGGCCGTGTCTTTTGGTGGTAAAATCCTTATTGATGTATCATCTTTGGCTGTGTATAACAGAGTTTTCACCAGATCCTAGTCATTGACATTTAAAAATAAATGATCTTTTATTTTTTTAATGCAATTATAGCATCACTTTGAACACACTTTCACCTTAATGACCCTTCTCATCATGCAAGCCAGGAGTATTATCGTGTCATCCACCAATTTTGATGACTAAGTGCAAGCCTGTGGTTACCAAATAAGATACTTGCCATTCCTCAATAAGTCTCTGACTTCCATATTTTCAGAATTTCCTGAACTCTATTCCTTTGGTATTCATTCAAAACCACTTTTCTACAGTCTGTCTTATTCGTTTTGTTACAAGAATCATCTTTTTTCTCGGAGCTTTTACCTAAAATGATACGTAATAATTGTGTTTGGGAGTCACCTATAATTAAACTTTATAATCTTCTATTGCTTTTCCTGTGTACTCACTGTTGTCTCTAGCTTATAGGCATTGCAACCAACAGATCCATGAAAGTAGTTAGTCTGACTACCTTCGTTAGTATTATTTGTGGTTCAGTTGTGATGGTTGAGTTGAACCGTATCAGGATTCTTCACTGCGGGGTTGTGAGAATTTTTTCCCTTCTAAGCAATAATTTTCCTTGGCCCCCTCCCTTTTCTAATTATACGCTCTCAGGCCTTGCCAACCCACACTGTGTTGCTGAGGCTACGCCCTGCAGCAGGTGTCAGCAAAGAGACGTGAGAGGGATGCTTTTCTTCTAACTGATTCATCAGAGTTATGAGACACCCACCCCTGCTGGGGGTTTGGGTGGTTTTTTGTTTGTTGTTGTTTTTTCAGCTCCCAGAACCCTTCATTACTGTAGCAAAATTTAAAAAAAATTTTTTTATATAAATAGCCAAAGGTTCCAGAAATACCCTCTTAGCTATCAGGATGATAGGTTTAAGAATACATGTTAATGTGCTTTTTTATTTTTCTTTTTAACTGAATACATGTAGTCTGGTTCTCAAGTAGAAATTAGATGTTCTAAGGTGGGCTTCTGTTAAAAAAAATTCCCATAATCTCTAGTTTGTCCATTTCGTTTTTAGAATAATCACTAACTAGTGAGTTAGGTTCATGAAGCAGCCGAGCTCCAGGGTCCCCAGTGTGTGTCATATGTAATTCCCAAATTCAGTTGCTGCCATTTTGATACGTTTGACCACAGTTGCTTCCTCCCTCCTCGATGAAACTACCTTCCCCTGGTTCCTGGAGGGCCAGTCCTTTCCTGCACCTCTTCTTGCTTCACTCGCTGAGAAGGTGCTCTCGTGGCACATGATTGAGTATTGCTTAGCTGCTAACTAAATGGTTGGGTGATTCAATCCCCGCCACTCTGTGCTTCTGTTGAGATTTGCAGCTTTGGAAGCCCTCCTCTGCTACAGGGTCACTGTGCGCCACGGTCGCGGGATGGCAGTGGGTTTTTCTCACCACTAGCTGAGCTTTTCCCGACTCCTTTTGTTGTTGTTTCTTCTCATTTCTCCTCTTTGAATCTGTGGGTCCCAAATCCCTTCCATCTCTCATTCTAAAGTCGAAAAAACATCTAAAGTTTTTCCGTGACATAATTGGCAGCAGAACCTACCTTGACCTGAACTTGTTGGATGGTAAAACCTGACATAGAATAACATCAGGCTGTGTATGACCTTTATCCAACTTAGTAGAGTGCTCATTTTTTCATTTAAAAATCTTTTCTTCCTTGGATCTTACTGGAAATACTATGTAATGTAGCATACTCTTTTTAAAAAATCTAAAGTATACTTACTTCCGAAACATGCTTTGACCCTAAGACATTTTGTGTAACTGTTGACGCATTCCTTCAGTCTCTTGATGACCTCACTCATTTTAATTCTCTCTTTAATATTGATGGCTCCTAAATTTATGTCTCTAGCTCACCCCTCTCTCCTTCCTGAACACCATCCTTTCATGCCCAGCAGCCTATCTAACATCTCTGCTTGGATGTCCCTTGGCATCTGAAAAACATGTTCTGATCTCCTGCTTCCCCTTTGGTCTCTTCCCCCTGCTGTCCCCTCCCCCCTCTCCGAGAACAGAAGATTGATTGTTTAGCTGCTTGGCTTATGAACGGATACGAGCATGCTTGGCTTATGAGCGGATCTGTTCCTGAATGTGTTCCTGAAGCTGAAAGTAAGTTGGACCAGGTATTCAAGGCCTTTTTAGCGATGGAAAAGTGCATGTACACCAAGTGAAGGTGGTTTTGAGGAAGAATTCATTGTGAGCAAGGATGGGTTCCATTATTTCAAAGTGAGAATACGGTTGACACAGCAAGGAGGAGTTGTCTGTATGTCTGTAACCGGATGACTGCCTGCCCTTGAACATCATCTTTGACGCTCTCTTTTTAACACCCCACACATCCAAGTCTGGCAACAAATCCTGCTTTAAAGTAGATCAGAACCAGGCTACTCCTCACTACCCAGCCTGCACCTTGATCCGTCTTTGACTTCTCTCCCTGCTTTCCCACGGACCTCCCTTCCTTTGGAGCTTACTCCTGTAGTCTTTTAAACAGAATGGCCCTTCTGTGGTATGGGTCCTCACATGCTGCTACTCTCCATGAATTCAGTGGTTTCCCATCAGGATAAGACTCAGGATAAGACCCCCTGTGCACCGTGTTGAATCTTGCTCTCCAGGATTTGACCCTCCTACTACTCTGTTAGCTTCTTTTCTGCTTTTTCTGGTTGCTTAGTCGCTCTCCTCCTGCCGTGCCTCCCTCACTGTTTTTCCTGCCCCCTGACATACATGCATTCCCTTCAGGTCTAGGCTCAGATGTCTTCTTATCGTGAGCCCTTTCCAATCATTGTGTTTCAGCTAGCACCTAACTGCCCCCCACCCCTGCATAACTCCCTTCACTGATTGCTTTTTCACCTTAGCCCTGATCACTGTCCAACACACTGTATTTGAAAGGGTTTCAAAAGGTTTGTGGTGGGCTCAAGTAGAAAGCAAATGTTTTGAGAATGATGATGACAACAGATGTACAAATGTGCTTGACGCAATGGATGGATGGATGGATGGATTGTGATAAGAGTTGTACGAGCCCCCAATAAAATGGTTTTTTTAAAAAGGCTTATGGAAAACCTCATTAACTTTCAATTCCATTTTACCTATAGACTTTCCTGTTGAAGCCTCCCACATATGTTTCATATGTTTTCCATTAGCATATAAGCTTTGCAACGCTGCCTTCTTCACGGAAACGTCTCCGCTCCTACAACTTAGACTGGTGGTTCTTAGTAACGATTTGTTGAATGTAGAAATATATTTTTTATCTTGTCCAATGCACATTTATTGGCTATATTTACTATGGGAAAGGTCTTATGATGACTGCTGGGCATAAAATACAGAGAAGGCAACATGCCTCTGCTCTAAGGGATCATTTCATGAAGGTGTCATGGACATGTACAAGGGGCCACATGCATTTGTGGAAAAACTCTTCTTAATTTCCTTTTCCCACGAACTTTTATGATACCTCCAAATACAAAAGTAAAATTCCAATTCAATGTTATAACAAGAAGTATCCTTTTCATGTCTTTTTGGTTTAAATTGGGCGTAGAATTAGCCACGAGGGTCACATGAACAGAGTCTTGAAGAAAGACTGAGTCCACAGAGGGTGAAGGGGGCTCAAAGTCACAAAAGGTTCAAGGGCACGGAGGGGTGAACACAGCCTGTGTCGGAGGAATTGAGCGTAGTTGTGTGTGGCCGGACTGGAAAAGGCGGTTAGATCAAAGTGTGAAGAGCCTTATGATTCTCCCAAATAATGTGAACGCCATCCTTGGGGTCTGAATGAGCTCCCAACAGTGTGGAAGCAGAGGCAGGACGTGACCAGCACAAGGCCGTGGAGAACTCGAGTGATGTGCAGGGAGTGGAGGGATCAGTATTACACTAACGCAACCCAAGATGGGAAGACCCTGACTTCAGACACTGATGGAGAGAATGAGGAGGAGGGAAGAAACAAGGTAGGCAGCAGTATCACTGAAAGGGCTTGGCTACCAACAGTGTCTGGAAGCAGTTGGGGGTGATTCTGAGATTTTTATTCTGGGAGGCACCTGGACGGATTTCGGTGTGGCGAGGTATAGGAAAAGAAGCCGACATGGAGAGGCTGATGGATGGGGATTGCTTTTTAGACTTGTTAACCTTGAGGTGTCTGCCACATTCAGGTGGGCACGTCTGGCCATTGGTTAGATGATGGGGAGAGGTGAAGATCACAGATTCGTGAGTTCACTTACACTTACTTGGATTTGAAGGCAGGGCAGTGGATAAGGGTGCTCAGCTCGGGGTGAGGAGGAGATGAGGAGGGTCAAGGAGAGAGACTCCCCGAGAAATGCCCCGAGAAATAGCCCAGCCTACAGAGAAGATTCCGAAGGCATGGCTGGAAGACGAAACAGCCTGACATATCCTTTGCAGAGGAAACACTAACATGCCTTGCTTTTCTCCTCAGGAAGAGACTCGGTGCCCGACATCCCTGTCTGTCGTGAAAGACCCAAACCTCACTGAGAATCCAGAGGACGAAGACCCTCTCTTTGACGCCCCCATTGACCTCTCTTCGGACGAAGAGTATTACGTTGAAGAAAGCCGATCGGCAAAGCTTAGAAAGTCAGGCAAAGTGCACATCGATAACATCAGAAAGGCATTTTCCAAAGAGAACATGCAGAAGACCCGGCAGACTTTCGACAAGAATGTGAGCAGGCTCAGAACTAGAATAGTCACCCCTGAGCGGAGAGAGAGGCTGCGGCAGTCGGGGGAGAGGCTGCGGCAGTCGGGGGAGAGGCTCAAGCAGTCTTCTGGGGAGAGGCTGAGGCAGTCGGGGGAGAGGCTCAAGCAGTCTGGTGAGAGATTTAAGAAGTCCATTTCAAATGCAGCTCCCTCGAGGGGAGCCTTTAAGATGCGGAGCCTCCGAAAAGCTAAGGACCGAACTGGGGCTGAGGGCCAGGAGGGCATCCAGGAGCTGGGTGTGGACATCATTGCCCGGAGTGAGGCTCTGAGCCCTGGAGAGCTCAGTGGGATGGAAGGCGAGGAGGCCCGGGGGGTGTGTCCTTCCCACGAAAGAGGGGAGACCCCGACCCCTGAGCCTTTGAAAGTCACCTTCAAACCTCAGGTGAAAGTAGCGGATGATGAATCTCTTCTGCTGGACTTAAAGCAGTCGGCCTAAATAAGAATTCAGTTTATTTTGAGTGTATATCTGCCTGGTCATGCAGTTCTAGTTGGAGTGTTGTCATTATTTGCATTTTTATGCCGTGTCAGAGGATGCTGGGGGCCTTGGGGGAGCTCATTGGAAATGGGATGAAAAGAGAATTGTGTTTGTCCATGAGCTTTTTGAAGCCCCCTCATCCAGAAGTGCTAGAGTGACTTTATTTGTTACGTTTTAAAATCTGGAAGGGGACATACAAAACGCAAGCCTGTATTTCCTCATGAAAATCCTCTCCCTGGCCTGGGTGCTTATGACGCCCGCAGCCTTTCTCTCCTGCCGCTCATTTTCACGGCAGCCATGGTTTTTAATGTCGTGGTTTTTGTCTTTCTGTTGTTCCTTTGAAGACTGAGTTTCTAGCTAAGGCCAATTAGGTGTTTGATAGCCTAAAACAAATGAAGGCAGGTGTGTGGCTGCCAGTTGATGTGAACGCTTAAGTCTGGATGCAGCCGGCTGAAGAGGTGATGGGTCCTTGTGTGAATTCCATCGTCCGCGTGCTCACACCTCCAGATTTGTTAGTAAATGGTCAGTCAGCCTCCTTTTCCATGCTTCTGCCTCCAGTCATGGCAGTCTGGGCCTGTAGCATCTGACGAGCGTCGTCATACAGAGCAAGCCGCCATCATCTGGAGGAAGCACCTCGCTTGTCGTCTGCCTGTTCCCATCACCCTTAGAGAGGCTGCGCCCGCCCTGCCCGATTCAGAGGGTGGTGGTGAAGATCGCAGGAGCCGTTTGCACTCCACAGGCTCATCCAGAGAGAACAGGGGTTCTTTGAAAACAGAATGGAAATACACCTGCTGAAAACACCCCCGTGCCACCAACATCGAGGGCTGCTCTGCAGAAGCCTCGTCCTAGAGTCAGGAGTGAAAAAGAATCTTAAGACTGAAGGCATACTTTTTAGGTTTGAGGTGGTTCTGAAACTGTTTCCTGGAAGACAGTTTTTCTTTCATGTAAATGTCTGCCTGTGGAGGTGTGGTAGCAGCGTGGAGCAGCCATGTCTCGTAAAACAGCTGGGTCTTCACTCGCCCGGCGGCTGGGGGTGGGGGGCACGTGGAAATGATTTCAAATAGTTTTATGTTCCAGAGGGAATCCCTCAGGACCCATCTGAACAAAAACCCTGTTCGCAGTAGTTGTTGTAGCTGCTTTGCGAGGAAGCCAGCTCAGTCTTCTGAGATTTAAGAGGAAAGAAATGATGGAATTGTTGAACAGGAAGAGTTTGGGCAACCACTTTTCTCTCTTCTCCTTTTCAGATCAGTTTTGGATGGCTGTGTAGGAGTTAAAATAAATGCACGCACGCACTCTTACACACACAAGCTAGCCTTAAAACGCTTGGCTCAGTTATTCACACAGTGGGGAGCTTGATTCATTTGTATTCCTGCCTTATTCTGCATGAATGCACACAATCTTAAATTGTTCATCTTGGCTTTGTTTTCTTTTTTGTTTTGTTTTCCTTTTTATACTGAGACCTAAAATGTATACAACATCGAGCAATACATTGCGGAGAACAATTTTTTTTTAAAGTTTGTACTACAGTTTAGAAAAAGTCTGGATGGCTTATGTCATAATAAACATGATTTTTAAAAGACAGTATTGTAAAGTTTGATGTTAGTGTCCAGTTGAAAATATATTTCCTTGTAAATACAAACAACATGGCATGAGTTTGGTATTGCAACCCTTCTCCGTAATAAAATTATGATACTTGGTTAAGAAGAATGGAAAGACATTGGAAACTTTCCTCATACCTGGTCTATGTGGAATAAATATTGAGCTAATATGTATGATAAAAAGTTGTGACACAAGAATACTTTCTTCTAGTAAATTGGCATTCTATGATGCTCACCTTCCCGACACAACCGCTGAAGACAAAACGGGTGAATAAGCAAATGTGGTGAAGAAAGCTGATGGTGCCCGGCTATCAAAAGATATAGCGTCTGGGGTCTTAAAAGCTTGAAGGTAA